TGGGATCTACGCTTCGACGGGGTCCCTGTCAAAGGACATCTAAATGGTTTCAAGGGAAGCCACCCCCCCACACAATTTTGAGGGCCCTCAAGGTTAAAAAAAAAATGCCCAAAAAGGGCATTGCTACTTTCCAAATGTTCACTTGAGACTTGGTCAGGCACCCCTCGGATGTGCAGGCGGTTGTTGGCAGGATCAGATTCCCGCTGCCGGTGTCGAAGATGACCTGCGGCACCCAAAAAAGCCGAACACCCACCCAAAAAAAGGTTGGGGCTCCCTCCAAACCCACCGGGGTTGAAGAGGTACCCTCAAAAAACACACAAACCCATACTCACACCAACTGGAATGTATGGCCAATTTTCTCAATCCCAAATAGCCTCACGTATGCCTGACACCAACCAAGCGTAACCCCTGTTTTGTGAGACCCGCACTTGTTTTCGGATCGGGCGTCTCTCCTGCTCGGGGGGCTTTGTCTTCAGGAACGTGGCTAAGTGACAAACACGAGTTAGGCGTCATTGTTGTTCAACAGTGATGCTCAATACCGACCTTGCACAAGGGCACTCGACATTGAGTGTGCATTCATTGTGTGAATCGAAATTCAGTCCGCTTCCGGAAACCTCGCCCGAGACTGCAGGGCTAGAGTTGACATGGTCACACTGTTCCAAACGAGAGTCAACCGGCTGCCAAAAGTTTCTCTGTCCGTTTTCTGATCCGCTAAAAGTTCAACTTGCGCGTACTAAAACCCTCAGGAACCGGATGGCTGGGACCACCAAGGTGTCGGGAAGGATCGCCGGCCACTCGGCAATGAAGTCTCAAGACTCGAAAACAGTCTACTGCGAGAATTAGGTACCCAAAGAATGGGTACCCTGGTAAATAGAACTAAGGACTGAAACCTCTGGTCCACATCCTGGTGGTTGAATCTTGACCAGCTCCTCGTATGAACTTCTGGCCAGTGGATTGCAGTTCCTTTTGACTCGCCTGCTCAAAGAACTCAGCAGCATGTTGGGCGGTGTATGTTAATCTTCAAAGGAAGACCAAACCCATTTGGTGGGCGCCTCAAAAGAAGACACACGTTTTGGCTTCCGGAGCCCAAGATCAACTACGCAAACGTTATGGTCCATCGGAATTTGGACGCGGCTTTTTCTTGAGGGTGCCCCTTTGTTTGTGCATGCTAAGGGAAACAATAGGAAAACCACCAATCCTCAGTACGGACTCATGACCTAACATCAACATCGACCAAGAAGAAAAAACCAACAGGTCAGTGGTGGATTCGCTCTGGGCTTAAGCGAGAATTGTCAGGACATATTCTGAAACACCCATCCACGCCCCCCCCTTCACCCCCCCACCCCCCTCCCCCCCTTCACCCAGAGGCCGGCCTTGAACTCCTGCGGCGGCGAGCCCATCTTGATGGAGCCCCAGTACGCGGTCTTGTGCACAATCTGGCCCACCAAAAACGCGGCCACGGCCAAAAACGCGGCGCGCCCCGATTGTTTTGGTTGAGGCTCGGTGGCCCTTCTTCTTTGGGTGCGGATTGAAGGAAAACCGTGTTCCCTTTCTCACCCCTATTGTTGGGGGAGGGGTCGCGACCCAAAACACAGACTAAACCGAAAAAGAAAGGGTACCAACTTATTCTGAGCTCTCAAATCTGGAAAACCTAGGCCCTGGAATAAAAGTCACACCCACGTTTTCCGGCGGTCAAAAGTTGGACACCGGTTGAACATTGAAAAAGGGGCACTGAAAAACAAAATGCCCCTGATTTTACCCTCCACATGACCCATGGTGACTTGTGAGAAAGAGATGCCCGGTGCTGCACGGCGGTGCAACGTATTGCTGATTCCAAGCTCAGGTGAACATGCAGGCTAGCTCGCCGTGCGCCATTTTTTGTGCCGGAACTAAGCGACAACAAGCTGGAACAAAGCCCGCAGAAGCATGCCCATGGTTCATGGGTGTTTGATGCAAGTCATAGGCGTTCACATATTTTTCCACACAGTTCGTTTGCATTCCGCCATTGCGCGGTTCTGTCCGCGCAAAAGAATTCCCCTGCATCACAGCATCTTGGCACACGTGGCCATCAATCGATACGCCTCAGAAGTGGCGGGTGGACATAAGTGCCCAAGGACAAAATGCTGCGCAGTTCGGGTCCCATGAACATTCATGCCTCATACCCAGCACTTGGTTGACGATTCGAGTACCCCGGAACCCGGCCTCTGCCCCCTCTCGATGAGCTCGACCCTGGGACCTCGGTCTGTGCGCTTCAGGGCTGGGGCCCCTTGAACTTGTCTATGTTTAATCACCATTTGGGGCCGGATTTTAATTGGAGGCCCGAAATGGTGGACATCAAACTGCGGTGGTTGGATTCCTGTCCAACCACTTTCGATTTGAGCAACCTCCCGTTGGTTTCCCTTGAACGGGGAGTAGGGCTTGGTTGCAAGATAAGGGTCACGCAAGCTGGCCCTCGCTTCCTGAAGCTCTGCTCGAACCATGTCTATCGATTTCTCATGCCGCTGGCTTGTGGGCAGAAAGGACCGCGATACAAAGCAGCGAAACAACCGACTTCTCCAAAGGACCAAAACTTAACCCATGGGTGTTTCTGGATGTTTCCCAAGATTACTGACAGCGTTCACGGAACCTTTTGAAAGGGGCGCCATTTGGGTGTGTGTGTGTGTGTTTTCTGAGAGTACCCTTTTTTGGGGTGGCTGAGAAAGGAAACCAAAAGGAACCCCGCCAATTTGGAGGGGACGTCCCCATCCCCGAAGCGTCACTTGCAACCTGCGGCGTGCCTCTTCATCGAGTGCTTGTTGAAGAGGAGAGCCTCTCAGAACCCAACTCGGTTGCTTTCAGCTCCCCTGCTGACAGTGAATGACTTTTAGTGGTTTAATGCGGAAAACCCATTGGCAAAAGGTTTAATTCCTAACATCCAAGCAAAATGCACCAAAGCAACTGTTGACCCAGGATGAAATAGCCACTTTTTGTCCGGCAGGTCTGTTCCTTCGCAAAAAACAAGGCAATTATTTGCTTGCTTGCCTGGCTTCCGCAATGCCAGCTGTCAAACCGGGGGCCCTTTCAAATGGTGTTTTCGTTCCTGGGATCTTGCATTTGGTTTTACACCTTAGGAAGCGGCGTCCCACCTGATTGACACATGTGGCTCAAAATTCAACAACTGAGGTTACGCAGGTTTTAGTCTTTGGCTCCATTTGCCAAGGCGCCATGCGGGTCTCCATTTTTGAGCCACAGCCACATGAGAATGCGAACCCAAGAAACAAAAGCCACGTGTGAGTTCAATGCTGAACTTTGCAGCAAAAGGTTAGAGCATGGCGCTAAACCAACCAAAAACGACCAAACATGTCACTTGCAGGGGCTAAGTCTTACATCCTCTAGCAGTTGCTCAACAAGTGCAACAGTCTCGCCTCATGGTGGTGCCCCACTTTGGCGCCAGCTTTGCTTCGAAGTCTTCTTCCTCCTCAAATTTCGCGGTGGAATGGCTCACTTGGCAGCCCTCCAGTGTGGTCGGTGATAATCAAACCAAATCCACGTGGCTCATGGTCAAAATCTGGGCTGTCCTCAGATTCCCTGCTAAAAGTTTAGCTTCTAGAGGCTTAGATCGAAACGAATCGGACGGCTGGGAACCACGAAGCAATTTGAAGCTGTTGAAAGGTCGCGTTCAAATCCTAGGCCTGTTGATTTTCAATCCCATGGCGTTGACGGATGGAAAAATGAGTACCTTGCTGGTGCTCAGTAGGGAATGACCTTTCGGGTGTTGGGAATGAACCAGAAGCGGATTCCCTTAAAGGAAACCATAGGTGGATGGTTTACAGGGATCATTCCAACTCATTTCCTGCCTATCAAACCAGCAATTGTTTGGCGGGAAGCCGTTTGTGAGACGCCAAGGTCAGCAGGGAATGAGGGAATCTTCCATTTCTCATTCCCCACTGCGCCAGCAAGTTTAGAGTCCGAAACGGAACTCAGGGAGTGAGTGTTCCCCAGCTCTTCCAGCAGCTCTGCAGGATTCCGAGGTCTGGAGCCCTGTGGAAGCTTGCAAAGGCTCCGAAAGGTTCCGGAGCTTCCGTGCTTAAAGATACCCCACAAAAGCCATGGTTACAACTGGGGAAACCATCCTGGATTCTTCTGCCTGGCTGCCATTTTGCCTCCTTGCGACAGCTAACCCAACGGATCCATGGAATGAAACCCCCCAAGCGCCTCAGCCCAGCGGAGGCCCTGCCCCCGGGCCCCGGGCCTTTCAGGAGAGCGCCTTCCGACAAGGCCAGGGCGACCTCAGCGCAGGCAGCGGACGAGAAAGGAATCCACGAGGCCCACGGGCAAACCACCTCCCGCCAGGCCAAGCCTCCCTGACGGCGGCTTCGAATCACCCTGCCAGAGCTTGCTTGGGCCGACCAAGCCCAAGCTGTCAGCTGTTGGGAACACGAGCCAAGGCCCAAAAACAGACAGGAGCCTTGTGAAGTTGGAACGGACGCGAGAGAAAGCAATGCCTTGTTCAAAAAATCGGACACGGAGAAAAACCCTTGGGTTGTGAACCAAGCCCAAACCGGGTGCCCTCAAAAACCACACCCGGGAAGCGCTTGCTGTTCTTGAACGAAGCCTGGAGAAACCCAACACATCGGGACCCGAAACCCGGGTGGCCAAAAATATCGGCGGCTGCACGGAAGCTGAGTCACTTCTCTCTGAGCCTCCCACTAGGATCAGCCGCTGCCACATTCTTCCGGAGCCCTGGGCTTCGATCCAGCGTACGGGCCAGCCATGAACAGGGGCTTGCCCGAACTTTAACATGGAGACCCGCGAAAAAAATCCTGCTGGAACAAAACGCGTAGACAAAAGGCCAGGCAGTATCCAGGGATTCGGCAACTGTCAGAATTCACTTGGATGCTTAGGTTGTAACCATAGATATAAGTTGGGTAGCTGGGGGCAGTCTCCTTGTAGGCATCGTTATATCCTACTTACCAAATGTGAAGTTCCGCCGCTGCAGGAATTACAACAGCACCATTTTTAGGCTCAAATGCTCTTGCACCTGGCTGCTGTCTCCACCGAATGCTGGATTGCCCCAAGTCACAACAGCCCCAGATTCAAGAATGGCAGCAAAAGCTCTGGCAGTTGCTTGGACGTGCTGGACGTTCCTCAGCTGCTCTTGCACCTGGCTGCTGTCTCCACCATATTCTGGATCGCCCCAGGTCTCAACAGCCCCTGATTCAAGAATAGCAGCAAAAGCAGAGTGAGTTGCTTGGATGTGCTGGACGCTCCTAAGCTGCTCTTGCACCTGGCTGCTGTCTCCGCCCCAGTCTGGATCGCCCCAGGTCACAACAGCCCCAGATTTGAGAATTGCAGCAAAAGCATTGGTAGTTGCTTGGAGGTGCCGGACGTTCCTCAGCTGCTCTTGCACCTGGCTGCTGTCTCCACCATAAATTGGATCGCCCCAGGTCACAACAGCCCCTGATTCAAGAATAGCAGCAAAAGCAGAGTGAGTTGCTTGGATGTGCTGGACGCTCCTAAGCTGCTCTTGCACCTGGCTGCTGTCTCCGCCCCAGTCTGGATCGCCCCAGGTCACAACAGCCCCAGATTCGAGAATTGCAGCAAAAGCATTGGTAGTTGCTTGGAGGTGCCGGACGTTCCTCAGCTGCTCTTGCACCTGGCTGCTGTCTCCACCATATTCTGGATCACCCCAGGTCTCAACAGCCCCAGATTCAAGAATAGCAGCAAAAGCAGAGTGAGTTGCTTGGATGTGCTGGACGCTCCTAAGCTGCTCTTGCACCTGAATGCTGTCTCCGCTCCAGTCTGGATCGCCCCAGGTCACAACAGCCCCAGATTCGAGAATTGCAGCAACACCATTGGTAGTTGCTTGGAGGTGCCGGACGTTCCTCAGCTGCTCTTGCACCTGGCTGCTGTCTCCGCCCCAATCTGGATCGCCCCAGGTCACAACAGCCCCAAATTCAAGAATGGCAGCAAACGCACCGTTGGCAGTTGCTTGGATGCACTGGACAATCCTCAGCTGCTCTTGCACATGGCTGCTGTCTCCGCCGAATGCTGGATTGCCCCAAGTCACAAAAGCCCCAGATTCAAGAATGGATCTTCTTGTGGTATTGGTCTCGATGAAGCCTATAACTGCAAACAGCGCAAACGATATGCAAGCTTAGCATCTCCTCGGCTTCGAAGCACTCTTTGCACTTGCGCTTCTCAACGCTCCACTTTGCCTGCGCATTGTAAAAATCGCCCTTGGCTTTAACGCTGCAGCACTCCGAGCAAAATAGCCGACCTTTCGTCCAATCCTCCTGCTCCTTGCTGAAAGGTTGGGTAGCCGGACGCTGTGCTTGCTTTGGAAGCGGCGTTGGCTGAGCTGCCGCAACTGGTTCTAGAGGCTTCTCAAAGCAGTCCTTGCATTTTCGCCGCTCCACGCTCCATTTCGCCTCGTTTTTGTAAAAATCACCTTTGGCCTTGAGGCTGCAGCACACTGAGCAGAAAAGGTGGCCTGCTTCCCAATCTTCTTGCTTTTTGTGGTGGCGAGCTGCTGGTTGCTGCAGATGCTGCGCCTCCTTCGGCGGCAGCATTGCTTGCAAAGCCTGCGTCGGCTGCGCCAGCCCTGGGTACGTGGCGCCAGTTTGCATCCACACGTTGCTGGCCAGCATCGGACACGGTCACCTGGCCAGCAAATGGTTGAAGCGAATCAGTCTTCCGTCTGGCTTGCGCCACTCTTGCTTGGGTTCTTTGCCTTCTTGGGCCAACCACCACAAGTTCTTCCAGTGCTTCTGTCCCACCAGGTGCCCAGCTAGCGTGCTGTGGCATTCGCGTTGGCAAACGCAACAGCTGCCCCAGTCCGCGACATCACGCAAATTCTGCTCCAAGTACATGCCGCAAGGTTCCACAAACTGCCGCCAGGCCTCCGAGGTCTCGAGGCACTCGCCCGTGGCGATGTATCATGTTGTCACCATGACGGCCTTTGTTTGGTGCTGCATGAATCGTGCCAACGCGCTCACGTTGGTCTGTCCCGGTGGCCTTGAACCAAACGAGTGGGAGACACGCTCGCGTGTCCAGCTGGACCCAGCCAAAGAGAAGTGTGAACTGCAAAACAAAGGCCTTGCTTCGACTGGCCAAAGCTTGGCCCAACTCTGAGCCTACACCAAGAACAGTTTTTCTGATGAGTCAGCAGCAAAAGCTCTGTCAGTTGCTTGAAGGTGCTGCACATTTCTCAGCTGCTCTTGCACCTGGCTGCTGTCTCCGCCATAAATTGGATGACCCCAGGTCACAACCTCGCCCTTGATCATTCAAAGCAAATGCCCTGTCATTGGCGGCCAGTTTGCCAAGCTGCACAACCCCAGTCACCACGTCCCCATCTCGCAAACGCGCCTCTGTCACCGTAGCCTCAAAATCGAGTTGCTGTCCGTTCGCAATGAGCTTCAAGCGACGCTGGAAGTGCTGCTGTGCTGCAGCCTTCAGCTCGCTGATGGGCGTCGCCGGTGAGACTTCTATGGAGCAGCCATCTCCGCTGGGCAAGTGGACATGCACTTTCATGGCGCCTTCGAAAAGTTCTCCTGTGTTCAAGTTGAACAGGAAACTGAGCAGTTCAAGTTGTACATTGGAGCGCCCTTCTGACTCACTTTTTGAGGGCATACAATTTGAGAGGCGTCACATCCCTGGTCGCAAGCATGGCAAACATGATCCGCGGGTCTTAAACCATGCCCTGAGCGAGGACACTGCCAGTATCTATGAGATTCTGACTAGCACGTTGCTTCTTGAGCAGAAGCTCAATCCCCATCAGCAATTCATTGGCCAGGCCTTTCCTGTTGCGTCATGACCCACAGCCAAGAAATCCACAAAGCCGGACAGCTGGCGGCTTTCGTCCACATTTCTTTGTTCAAATAACTCCCCACGACCTTCACTCTCCTGCAGTTTTGGCTAGTGACGTTGTTGGGTCTGGTCGATCTTTCACCCAGCTTAACTGGAAAACCCAGAAAGGTCAGGAGCCAGGTTCCTCCCAGGGCATTCCTGGGTGTGGCTGAAAGTAGCTGGCAGAACTCTTTTTGGGCGCAATTGAAGCTCGCCACCTTCACCCGGCAAGGATTGTTCCTCCCAAGTTGGAGACGCAAGGGAAGTGTGACCGGCTTGGATTGGGAGTTGCAACCACTTTCACACCAAGGAACCCCTCAACGAGAGGTCCGCAATCGGGAAACTTGGAGTTTTGATGTCCGTGTTCCACCGGCCGTCGGGCTCCTTTCCTATTCGGGGTTCCTTTCCGGGCCGCTCCGTGGTTCCAGGGGGTTGCGATTGAAAGCCCGAAAACATCGGGCTCATTCAGGAATCCCTGGACCATCCCAACGTGAACCAGTAAAGTTGCACATGTAATGTCTTTCAGGTTCCTTTCATGTACGAGAGGTGATTTTGTTGGACCGGTTTTCAGGGTTGCTCTATGGGGCCGTTCAGCCCGGCTATATGTATGACCAAGCCCGCGCTTGGAGAACCTGTGTTTTGTTTGCTTGGGTTCCTGTCATGTAGCAACCCTTGCAACCCGCAAGGTTTAGCAACCCAAATGGGTTCTTGAGGTTTCCCCCAGGTCTTCCAAATCTGTCAGCTTGGTTGAGAAACCACAATCCGAATAGCTGGGTTACTGGGTTCCCCGGATCTTTTTCCCCCAACACCAAGTCGGAAGCTCCTCAGGCCCGAAAGGTGAATGGATAGCCACACTGGGAGATATACGTCAACTCAGCCTGGGTTACTTGGGGGCCAGTCAGTTATGCAACAATGAAAGGTCCAGGATGGAAGTACATACCCCTTCGTCATACCCCCGATTGCAAACCCCTTTGGAATGCAAACCCATTGGGTGCGGGTATGACGACAGCACACCTTTTGGTGTCATTATGCAGAAAAAACACCCTTGGATGCCAAGGGTGGTGTCTCCACCAACAGTGGCAGAAACGTAGGCGCTGGCTCACTTGGGTGTTCAAACCATTTAGTATGGGTTTAGCGCGGGCCAACTATTTTCGCCCAATGATCGGCAAAATACTAATCGCTACATGATTCGGAGTTGCGCTCGTTTGCAGGTGTTTGCGCTCGTGGTGTGGTATTTGTGCCCTTTGGGCTGCTATGTTTCCACATGTTTCCATGCAACAGACAATATGAGAAGAGAGAAGTCGCCGCAATCGCCCAATACGCTCGAATCCAAATTTGCGCCCGTTCCCCCGAAAAACGTGCGATTCGCACATTTCTGCTACGAAACACCCAAGGGACACAAATTTATGCAACAAATGAGGGTCCAGTGAGTCACAATCAAAACCCGGTGTTAAAATGGTCTACCCAGAACCATGTAAAGAAATAAGAAGGCGGCCGCAGCTATTTATGGCAAGGGGATTGTCCCTTACTATCCTTCATCTACCCGGGTTTTGATTGTGGCTCCAGTGTTCTTCAGACTTGGGATCGCCACAAGCAGCGCCTGAATCTATCATTCTCCTTCCTCCCTTGGGTTGTTCCACGAAAGCTGCCTGACGATCTGAGTTGCGTTGACTCAACCGCGGGACATTCCACTCGGTACGACTGCAAATGGGCCTCTCTTTTTGGAGTTGGTACCCCTTTTTTGCAGTTTGAAAAGGGCGCAAACTTGGCTGACACGGGCAACTAACCTCCATTACCTAGTGGGAATTTGGTGAGTTTAGTCGATGTGACCTCCTGCAATATTGCCTGTTGCTCGTATGGGTTATACAAACAGTCAAAATAGGTATGGAATATCCGATTTGAAGGCTCGCAAAATGATGGAACCTGCAGAGGATGGACAACATTCCCCAGTTGGCCGGCGGTTCTTCCCAGTATTTCTAGGGTCTTGTTCCATCAGTTGCCTGTGGATTTTATCGCCATCCACGAAAAGACTCGTTGTGCCCCTTCGCTTTCCTCTTGTTGGTTCCCTTTGCAACCAGCTTTCGGTTCCTTTCCGTGGGGCGTCCAAGTGCTTTTTCGTCCCCCCCCCCCAAAAAAAAAAAAAAAAAATGAACAAAGTACGTCCAGTAGTGAAATCGATTCCCCGAAAGAAAACAAACAAAAAAGGTGAACATATCATCAATATGCTTCATCAGATGGAAGTTGCGTGAAAAGGAAAGTAGTCTTCGAAACCTCTCCGATGGTCAGCTTCCATGATTGGAGGGTGGGGAGGGTGCTCTTCGTTTTTCAATCGACTGACTCACTGACTGGTAGGGAGTACACCTCACCTCCTGAGGTTGGCCAAAAAAAGCCTGAACTGGTGGTTTACCATATTTAATAGGTCCAGACCCAAAAACAGTTCAAGTCCAGAAACTCAGGCAGTGAGCCATACCCCTTACGCCCAATACCTGCTGGTTGAAGGGTATGATGTCGACCCTCTACCGGGATTTCCCCCCCAAAAAAAACTAAACAACCGGGAGGCTTTAAGGCGCCCCGCACTCCCCCCTCCCCCCGTTTTCTGGCCTGGAGAGCCTCTCCAGGAAGGGCTTCGAACCCGCCGGCTTCCGCTTCCGCCTCGCGGCCGCGGCACGGGCGAACCCCCGAAGGGGTCCCGAGTGGCTCGTCCGAGCGCGGCTCGTCTTACGCGTAGGTTGGAGCCATGGATCTAACTGGCACACTCCAAACTGCCCCTTACTATGGTTAGATCTACTTAACCTGAGTGCTGTAACGGTCCCTCTGCGAACAACTGCTTGTGGGTCCAATGGCAAAAAATCCGGGGTCTGTTTCAACCAAAAGTGAAAGTCCAAAGACGCAACCAAATAGCCATAAAGTCTGTTCGAGTGGCTCGACTTTTTTCGAGGGCGCCCCTTTCGAATGGTCTAAAGGGACCCCACAGGAAAACACCCCCATTTGGTCAAAAAGGGTCCCTAAAACAGACAAATCCATTCGGCAAATTTCTTCTGTGAAGCAAGCCGTGAGCAAGTTGGACCCATGGGAGTCTGTCATTTCCTTCCATGTTATATACGTCGTAGCTTCCTAAACGCCTGGAAGAATAGAAAGTTAGGACTCAAACAAATGGGAGGAAAAGACTTTTCTTGTTGAGGCAACCTCGGCGCTTGTCGGAATACTGAAACGACTAGCAGAGAAGGAATCCAGGACTTAACAAAATGATAATGAGAATAAAAGATGGTAGTAGAAAACAAGTCGAACTCTCCAATAGACTCCTGGAAGCTTGGCGAGCAACATGAAGCTATGGGAAACCTATACATATGGCACATTTGGGAGTGAAAAAAGTGGAGAAAAAAACAACTCCAGCAAAGCCAGAAACGTGTTGGAAACAATGATGCGCAAAGGCCCTTCGACAAAACATGCTCCGAGCCAGTTAGAAAGCAGCGGGACGGATCGCTTTACCCCAGGCAGCATTCGTAAATTCCATCAAGCGGTGAGCGAGTAAGATCCTGCCGGGAACAGTGCATGAACCAATAGTGGCATCCCATCTTCATATCTTAACTGCAACTGGACACCGATTTCGGAAATTAGCCAGAAGACAGAACCGAAACCATGTGAATGTGGCAACGCAAGCGCGGTGCTGGCCGGAAATATGTTCGATAAGAAGCGAATTGGAAAGCTAGAGCGAAAAAAGTATGATAATTAAGAAAATGAGTTGGACATCAAATGGCGCTAGTCGAGAACAAGCAGAACTCTCGAATAGCAACTCGGAAACGATTTGGCCAGCAGGAATCTATGGCAAAATAGCAACCGGAAAAAGAAAAAACAAAGAAAAAAAACTCTTGCCAGTGCTCAGTAGGGAATGACCTTGCAGGTGTTGGGAATGAATCGGAAGGGGATTCCCTCAAAGGACACCACAGGGAATGGTTTTTAGCGGGGTCATTCCAACTCATTCCTGCCTCTCGAACCAGCAAGAGAACTCTAGCGAAATAAGTAGGCCACCCTGGAAGCAATGCAAGGCCAAAAGATTTCAACTAGGTGGCTCGTCTTTTGCAGAGCGCTGCTACCCCATACCTTGAAAACGAGAACCAAAAGGAAAACCGCAGCCATTTTTCTATGGTTTCCACTACCCCCACGCCGAAGCTACCCCCGGGGTTTCATGGGATATACAGCCGCCATATTGCCACCTGGCGCCCTGTATGGCTTTTTTTTCCGGTCAAACTCCCGTATTTGGCCGTATTTGCCCGTATGGCCATGATTTTTCGGTCATTTGCGAAAATCACCCGTATGAAACCCATATTTTGTTCGACACGTTGTTGAAAAAAACGTAAAAACCCGTATGGCCATTTTTTTCGGTCAAAAGCGTATGACCTAAAAAAAAAAAAAACAGCCATATGGGGTCCCAGGCACTGTATAAAGGCATATGCCCACAATTTACGCTGGGGCCAGCTTCGGCTTGGGAGTAGTGGAACCTATCATAAAAATGATGGAGCCACCCACATCCTTGGACCAAATTGGAGTCCTTCCCGAACGCGCGAATGCCAAATTGCTAGCCATCCAAGGCCATTCAAGCGGTGGTTATATTTGTCCAAAGCAAGCAAGCTGATCACTTCACCGTTTAAGAAATTATTGCGATGGTTGTTCTGCTTGACCAAAACACTTCTCCGTTTGAGAAATTCAGGCGATCTTTGCACTGCGTGCACCTTCTTCTCAGTTGCAAAAAAAGGACTCACAAATAAAAGGTGATCACCTTTTGGGGCCACCAAAAATGGGCCAAAGGGGGAAAGCAAAAGGTCAAAACGTCGGCGGTGAGCATTTCTTGCTTCAATGCAAGCACAAAACGGGAACATCTCACACCCAAAGGCTGGAGTTGACGAAAAAAGAAAAGCTGCAAAGGCGAAAAGACCAAAAAGCCAACCAAGCGAAAAAACGACAAGTCGAAAAGTTAGAAAAGCCGAAAAGCCGAAAAGCCGAAAAGTTGAAAAGTCGAAAAGTGTAAAAATACAACAAACAAAAGTCATCAAGTTGACTACGTCTCTAGTTGTTTCAGATATCTCGTTTTTGTTTCACGATTCTCACGTTTCTCACGTGTCTCACTTTCTCACTCTTCTCACTTTTCTCACTCTTCGCACTCTTCTCACTTGTCGCACTTTCTACATGTTTGTGTTTCCAAATGTCTCGCTTTTGTCATTTTCTACTTGTCCACGTTTGTCATGTGTATAATGTGGTTCACTTTCCACTGTTCTGTTGTACTTTCTCACTTTTTACTTTTCTACTTTTCTCGCATCTGTGTTTAGTCTTATCATGTGTCTACTTTTCCCATTTGTTGACTGGTCGACTCTTATCGCTTTCCCAACTTTCTC